GACTAAACCCAAGTTTGGGGGGGATAAGGAGAGAGATATGAAGAAGGAAGACAAGAAGGACCTAATATGTGAACATTGCAAGAAACCTAAGCATACCAAAGAAACCTGTTGGAAGCTACATCCTCATCTAGTTCCCGCAAAACTCAGGAACAAAAAGGGGAATGCCAATACAACTGTTACTAATGATTGTGCAACCTCATCAGGCACAAGAGCAACACCACTAGACACTCTAGTTACTGTTCGAGTTGCCTTGACTCAGTTGGAAAAGGAGGTTGGTAATTCAGCATCATCATCTCAGCCAGTCACAATATCAACTCCTCCCACCTCAACATTTGCTCATTCAGGTACACGGGCCTCAGCTTATCATGCTTCAGCTTTAGGTAACACTGAACATTGTTGGGTAATAGACTCAGGTGCATCTGATCATATGACTGGTTTGCCTTCACTATTTACTACCCATCACTTATCCTCTGGTAAAGACAAGGTGTCTATTGCTAATGGATCACTTGTTCCCATTTCTGGCAAGGGAGACATCAAGTTTGCTAGTGCCATTTCCTTATCTTCTGTTCTGCATGTTCCTAAACTTAGCACCAATTTACTTTCAGTTAGCAGCATTACTAAAAACCAGAATTGCTCAGTAACCTTTTTTCCTGATCGATGTGTTTTTCAGGACTTGGAGACAAGGAAGGTGATTGGGACTAGCCGTGAGACAAATGGAATCTATCTGCTTGGACGAAGTTCACAGTGGGACAGTAGTGAAGTTAGAGGGTCTTTTGTTTCTCAGTCTATTGGTCAAGTCATGCTTTGGCATAACCGATTGGGCCATTTATCCTTTATGTCTTTGAAAAGCTTGTTTCCTAGTTTATTTGAATCTATCCAGATGTCCAGTTTAAAGTGTGAAAGTTGTGAGCTTGTAAAGCATTGTAGAACAACCTATTCATCAAGTAATAAGAGAAGTAGTGTTCCTTTTGACATTGTGCATACCGATGTTTGAGGACCATATCACATCACTGCTATGGGGGGGGGGTACAAATACTTCTTGCTGTTTGTTGATGACTACACCCGGCTTTCTTGGGTCTACTTGATGCGTTCTCAAGATGAGGTCCCTACCCTAACCTAGACCTTTCATCAGATAATTTTAACCCAGTTTG